GGCCTCAGATCCAACAAATCCCTGTCCCTCACATGGAAAACAGGCCTCAAATCCAGCAAATCCCTGTTTTTTATATGGAAAACAGGCCTCAGATCCAATAATCCCTGCTGTTTACATGGAAAACAGGCCTCAGATCCAGCAAATCCCTGTTCCTCATATGGAAAACAGGTCTTGGAACCAACAGTCCCTGTTCCTCCCATGGAAAACAGGCCTCAGATCCAAGAAATCCCTGTCCCTCACATGGAAAACAGGCCTCAGATCCAGCAAATCCCTGTTCTTTATATGGAAAACAGGCCTCAGCTCCAAGAAATCCCTGTCCCTCCCATGGCAAACACAGGATTCCAAAGCACCGCTCAGCCAGGATGAATTCTCATGGAATCCTGGAGGATTCCAGCCCAGGAAATGGAGCAGGTCTGCAGGGCCAGGTTGGATCTTTTATTCCCACCACATCCCACATGGATGGAGGGGGTTTAACCACTTCTCCAAAGGAATCCTGGATGGGATCCCTCCTCCCTTCCCTCCCCAGGCTGCAGGGAAGGAGTTCAGGCAGCTCTGAACTGGGAAAACTTTCTCATTCCCAGTAAAACCCGCTCCAGGGAGGATCCCAGGAAGGAGCAGCCTCGTTCCACACCAGGATAAAATTCCAGGGGAGCTGATAAGGAACATTTTATGGACCTGGTTGAGCCAGGATTGTCTGGGCAGAGGAGATAAGGGCTGGGTTTTATATTCCCTGCACCCTGGATGTTCATTCCCAGCTCCAGCCCCTCCAGAGCCCAGAGCTGAGGTGACCAGGGAACTCCAAATTAATGAACTCTGAGGAAGTCAATAAGGAATTAATTAATTCCAAGGAACTTGATAGGAAATGGAGGCAAAGATTATGTCCACGATGGGATTTTCGTGCCAAGGGGGGGAAAACAAACCTCCCCAGGTGAATCCAGTGGGAAAACTGAAGTGTCTGCAGGGAAATGCTGAGGACTGGAAGAGCCCAAGGGCTGGAGAGGCTTCCACATGGGATTTATCCATCCCTCGGCTTCTCCAGCACGTCCAGAGAGACTAAAACGAAGCCTTGGAGACTCCAAGAGACCATTCCCAGCTGGAAGTGAAACCTGAGGGGCCGTGGCCAAGCCACATCCAGTTCCAGAAGCAGCAGGAAGGGAGGAAAGGAAGGGAAAAGCCAAACCTTGGGATTCCCCTGGGAGCCAAACATTCCTGGATTGGAACAGAACGGGACAGGACCTGCTCATGGAATCCTGGAATGGGTTGGGATGGAGGGACCTTAAGGATCATCCCATTCCCACCTCTCCATAGGAAGGGACACCTCCCATTATCCCAGGGGGATCCAACCCGGCCTTGGACACTTCCAGGGATCCAGCCGCATCCTCTGGGAAATCCATTCCAGGGCCTCCCCACCCTCCCAGCCAGGAATTCCTTCCCAATATCCCATCTCTCCCTGCCCTCTGGCAGTGGGATTTGGAGCCGGATTTGTGGCAAAATCCAAAGGATTTGGCTGTTCCAAAGCTGCCCCGAGGGAATTTTGGAGTGGGTGGGATGGAATGTTATCAGCAATTCCAAAGTCCAGAGGGGAGAGATAAGAAACCCCGGGGCAGTTACAGCTACACCGGCGTGGAAAAGGCTGGAAAACCGGGAATTACAAACCCCAATCCACACTTTTCCCCGAGGAGCAGCCCAGGAGAATCCCATGGGAGGATCCTGGGGGGGATTCCCAGGAAATGAGGAACGTAAAGCAAAGGAAAAGATCCTTGAAGGAAAAGCTCATCCCAGCCGAGTGCAGGGACACCTCCAACAATTTGGGCTGCACATTCCCGACGATTCTTCCCAGAATTTGTCCCAGGGAAGCACAAAAATCTCAAGAGGAAAACGAAAGGAGAGAAACTCTCCCCCCTCCTCGAACCGGGAGCGCCGGGAAGGGCGGGTTGGGATCGGAGAGATTCCAAAGTTCAGAGGAAACGGCCCCAAATATTGACCCAGGGCAGGAGGAACATTCCAAGGGCGCGGATTCCACGAGGCTCCAGCGCCACCGGGTGGGGAAGAGCAGCGGAGCAGCGGGAAAAGGGAGGAAAAGTGGGATGAGCCACGCCTGGAGCGGGCGGAGCTTCCCGAGGGATCACCGGGATGGCAGGGGAAGGGTTCGATTCCCACAGGGATTAACGCGCTCTGGGAGCTGCTTTTATGGGAAGGATCTCCGAGTTTTCCTCGCTCAGTGCCCTTGAACACATGGATTCATGGAATGGGTTGGGTTGGAGGGACCTTAAATCCCATCCCATCCCACCTTTCCATGGGCAGGGACACCTCCCACCATCCC